CATACGTGTGTACGTGTGTGTGTGTGTGTGTGTGTGTTTGTTTATGTATTTTCGTGTATGTTTATGTGTTTGTGTGTGTGTTTATGTACGATGTGTTGTGTTTGCGTATGTGTGTGTTTATGTACGATGCGTTATTCAACTTGTTTGGGATGTTTAAGATATCAGTTTTCTTACTTGAACGCTTTCATTTACACATGTGTGTGTGTCTTTTTGTGCGTGTGTTTCAGTGTGTATGCTTGTCTGTATGTGTGTGCGTGTCTGTGGGTGTGTGGGTGTATGAATGTGTGTATGTGTGTGTGTGTGTGCGTGTGTGCGTGTGTGTGAATGTCTGTGAACAACGCATTCATCCACATCGTTTGTTCATAGACATTGTATATGACATGCCAACGTACACACAAACAAATACACACACACACACACACACACATACATAGAAACACAAAAGAGAAAAAGAGAGAGAGAAAAAGAGAGAGAGAGAAAGAAGAAGAGAGAGAGAGAGAGAAAAAGGAGAGAAAAAGAAAGAAGGAGAGAAAGAGAGAAAAAGAAGAAGAGAGAGAGAAAGGAGAGAGAAAAAATCTTGAAAAAGAAAGAATGGATGAATAAAATAAGAAAAAGATAAGAGAATTAAAAACATTAAGATAGAGTGAATGAGTAAGTGAGTGAATGAGTGAATGAATAAAAACATACTGAACCAATTAATATATATATTGATAAGATCATTATCAAACATTTCCGCCACCATTCATTATCTTCATCATCATTCGTTTTTGTTTTTGCATTATGTGGGTTTGCCTGTTTGTATATTTATGTTTGTATGTGTGTTTGTATGTGTATGTTTGTATGTGTGTTTGTATGTGTGTTTGTATGTGTGTTTGTATGTGTATGTTTGTATGTGTGTTTGTATGTGTATGTTTTTATGTGTGTTTGTTTGTATGCTTGTATTTTTACTTGAACACATTTTTAAACCAGTTTTCATTCAGTCATTCCTTTAACTTTAACACGCACACGCACGCACAACACACACATACACACACATGCGCCAAAACAAACACACACACAGACACAGCCTAATAAAACAAAAAATATTTCTCTTTCTCTCTCTCTCTCTCTCTCTCTCTCTCTCTCTCTCTTTCTCTCTCTCTCTCTCTCTCTCTCTTAATGATGTACAGTACCTAGATAGCCCTTTAAATTTTTTGTATATGTGTGTTTATGTGTGTGTGTATTTGTATATGTGTGTGCGTGTGTATATATGTGTGTGCGTGTGTATGTATGTGTGTGCGTGTGTGTGTGTGTTCGTAATGTTTGGTAATAGGAA